CCGTCACGTGGCGGAGGCTGGGCCGTGACATCACGGGGCGGGGCGAGGCGGGGGTGTGGGCCCGGATCTCGTGTGCCTATTGGACGACAGGTGGGTGTGGGCGTGGCGATCGCGTAGACGAGGCTCGCCAGGCTAGCGAGTGGATGGCTTGAAAACCTGCCCAGGCGGCTTGGTCCTTGTAGTCAGGGCCCACGCTCCAGGCCTCGCCTAAAAAAATAAAATAAAATAATAAAGAAAAGAAAAAGAAAGGAGGGAGGGGAGAGAGGGGGGAAAAGAGAGAAAGAGAGAGGAGAGAGAGAGAGAGAGAGAGAGAGAGAGAGAGAGAGAGAGAGAGAGAGAGAGAAGTTTATGTATGTGAGATTTCATTTTGAGATAGTCTTACTGTGTAGCCCTGGATAGCCTGGAATTGCCATGTAGACCAGGCTAGCCTCAAACTCATATTTGATCTGCCTGCCTCTGCCTCCTGAGTACTGGAGTTAGAAATGGGTGCCACCAGGCCTGTTGTTGTTGTTTTAAGACATGGTCTCACTATGCTGCTCTGGTTAGCCTGGAACTTTCTATGTAGACCAAGCTGACCTTGGAGTCACATTGATCCACCTATCTCTGCCTCTCCAGTGCTGAGATTAAAGGTATGCACTACTGCCAGGCGGTGGTGGCCCACGCCTTTAATCCCAGCTCTCAGGAGTCAGAGGCAGGTGGATCTCTGTGAGTTTGAGAGCAGCCTGGTCTACAGAGCAAGTTCCAGGACAGTCAGGGCTACACACAGAAACCCTGTCTCAAAGAACAAAACAAAACAAAGGGTTTGCACACCTACCATACCCAGCAGTCTGGGGCTGTTGGGGGTGTTGGGGGCCCACACACGCCACCCTGCACGTGTGGATCCTAGGAGTTGAACTCAGGTCATTAGACTTGGCTGCAAGTACTTACCCTGAGCCACCTCCTCAGCCCACTGGATCTTTTTAAGAATTTAATTTTGCAGTATTTCCATATGCAAAAAGGATATAGAATATATATTGTATCTCACAGCTCTGAGCTTAAGAGGAAAAAAACTCCCAAAACCCTGGATCTAAAGAGCCTGCCCTCCTCCAGCACACCCTTACTTAGTATTTTGATCTTTCTATAAATAGCGTTATATTTGTTATGTATTTTTCAGTGTGAATTTGGTACTGTGTGTTCTGATATGCAGACTGAGATACCCAACTGCTTCTCTGCTTAAATGTCTTGGACCACTGCCACGCTGAGACTGGCATCTTCTTACCTCCAGGCCTGGCTCTGGCTGGGCCTTGCCTGGTTACCCTGGCAGCACCCTGATCACATGACTCCAGTGACTTTCCTCACGTGGGCTTCCTCACTTACTTTGTCGTTTTATTTAAACTGTTCTAACCATCCTGGAATGTGAGCTTCATGGGAGCAGGGACCTTGTTTTTAGACTTCATGGTTGTTCTTGACAGATTGTTCCTGTCACGGTACCTGCCACCTAACATTGCCCAAGAAACTAGTAAACAAACGGCCTAGGTTGAACTGTTCACTCTATTCTTGCACAGGCACCAAGGCCATAAATTCCTGCTTCCAAACTGACTCATATTCCCTCCCTCCCTCCCTCCCTCCCTCCCTCCCTC